TTGACTTACCCGGCGACCAGGCTTAGCTTACTTCAAAACGGTTATATACAGCCAAGCGGTGTTATTTTTCAGAAGAGTGTGTTATCTTGATAATACTGTAAGATTATCGTCAGTCAAAATTGCGATAGAATTTTAATTTTCATCATTCGAAAATTCGGAAAATTCTGGTCTTCAAACTTATTCCCGTTGATTGATGAATGATTACTGATCCGAATATTGGAATGATCTCCTTTTGTTGTGAGAGAATGCGTAATGACCCTGAAATCAACAAATTCCATTTCATTCATCTCAAACAGATTGACTTTTCAGTATGATACATGTTTTTATCAGTCTTCATTCTAGTGTCCCAGTTGTAACTATTCAAGTTTAAGTAATCGTATGAATGAACTGACCATTCAGCTGTGCAAATTAAGTGACTCAGCACTTTTCATGCATCCCACTTGTCATTTCGGCCAGTTCTTCGTCGAAAAAGTCGCATATCGGAACCATTGCGTTGTGCTGCATTAATGATTTATCTCATCTATCACTCAATGGCACTGTATAAAATGACAAAGCTTATATCTTGATATCCCGTGAAATCGTTCCATATCAATCACGATTTCATCTGAATTTGTTTGTCGATAAAGTTATATTACATAGGGCGACCATGCAACAATGTATTACGCAACTATCTCACACTAAAGTAAGTCACTTATGTGATGATTCTTGGCATCGAAATGTGTTGAGAAATTCAACTGATTCAAGAGTTGTTTAGGTCACAGTATCAGACGTTGTCAGAACACAACTGAAGAAACGTTAAGTATCAACAAATTCAGTTCATGGATGCAATATTCATCCGTCATCGATTTTCATATGTGTCAATTAGATTGAAAGCACATTTTAAACGGTCATGAGAACAACGAAGTCTTCCTTGAAACTGTACGTGTGACAAATTCTTGAAGTTTACCTACGGTCACTGCACTTTTTGTCGTGGAAATCACAAATGAATGACTCAGCAGTTTTTGTTTAAAGAAAAGTGGAGCAATTCTGTCGCGTGTTCCGTTAAAGCATGATGCACTCTGATCACGGTGAGCAACAATAATATAGCCATACATCAACTTCATCGAGCGAAGTAATGAACTGAAATTGATGTGCAAACCAACTGACGGACAGGATCGCAGAACTTGAAATCAGATCTCCTCAAGGAACAATAAAATTCATCAATTAGGAGATGTTGAAACATGAATGAAACGTGTAAATGAGAACGATTCATCTTTTTTTAGTGGAATCCTATTTTGTTGGCATATTGGTGGTGTGAATAGACCTTGAATGAACGATATCTGATGGTTGTTTGCGAGAATAAGAGAACGAGAATGTTGCGTTAATAAATATGATAAATATCATTGGGTTCCTGTTAAAAAAAAGTGGAGCAATTTGACATTTTTATTCTGGTACATTGTATTAAACAAAAGGATATTTTGATCGTGACCATATGATTAATCTTCCTAAGACGTATTTTTGACGCGATGTTCATTCGAAAAAAAATCCCATTTTAATGGTTTGTTTTTTCCGAATCCGGATTTTTAACGATGAAAACGATCATATGCGTTGAGAATTCGAGTTTTTTGTATAATATTTGAAGAAAGAAACACTGAAGAATGAGGATCGCTCGTCCTAAATCCTCCTCCTTCAAAGAGTATATAAATGCGCAATAACAAACCCTCGACAGTCAATTTCAGTGATTGCTTTCTCACACCAATAAAGTGAGTTGTTTGGTTATTTCGCTCTGTTCACCATCACAATTCTGCCTTTTGAAAATTCTCCCCACGGTTCAACGCAGAATTCGCAGTGAAATTGTTGTGAATTCCTAATCCGATTAGTCGCAGCCTGAATACACTCCCGGGACCACTAGCAATTCAGGCAATAGCAACGAGTTCCTTTTTCCGCTTCCCTTCATGAGATCGAACAGTTGAGTGTGTAAACGGAATGATGAAGCAATTGCAGAAAAGATGGCAGCGAAGCTGATAGTGATATGCGCCTCGACGGTGAGTGCGTTCATAATAGCGATCAGTTTGTTTGTGGCAGTCGGACTGGTCAACGATATCAACCAACTCTATTCGGGGATTATGGTCGACATGGAGGAGTTCAACGCGATTGCAAACGACGCCTGGAATGAGATGATGGCCATTCACGCGAGCGCATCTCCATCGGCCAATTCACCAGCTGCGCTATACAGTCTATTTGGAAGACGTCAGAAGCGTGAAGCATTGTGCCATTGTGAAGAGCGCGCTCAGAATTGTCCACCTGGTCCACAAGGAGAACAAGGAGATCCAGGACCAGATGGACCAGATGGACCACCAGGAGAACCTGGCAGGCCTGGTCCCGATGGAGTTAAATTCGTTATCGAAGATGTTGGTGCAAGCGGGTGCATTAAATGTCCGCCAGGACCACCAGGGCCAGCAGGACCTGATGGACCACCAGGACCACCTGGACCAAACGGCAAGGATGGAGCTCCCGGAAACAACGGTGCTGACGGACCACCAGGACCAGCTGGACCACCTGGTGCGCCAGGACCAGCAGGTATAGACATACACATTCGTTTCTTTCATATCCAAGAATGCAATCAAGTTAATGTTTCGTCCGACTTTCTTGTCTCGAAGCTTGCACGTTCATTCTGATATTTACGGTCAAAAATCGACTCTTGCCGCTCCAATCGTTTATTCTTAATATTGATGCATTTCAGGACCACCTGGCCCAGCCGGACCTGCAGGCCCGCCTGGTAAAGACGGACAGAAGGGTAAAGGTCTTCCTGGACCTAAGGGACAGCCTGGACCAGCCGGACCAGCTGGAAAACCCGGACCTATTGGCAAACCCGGACTTCCTGGTGAGCCCGGACCGGCAGGACCAGCCGGACCAGCTGGACAACCCGGTCCAGCAGGTAAAGACGGCGAGCCCGGTCCACCAGGAGCACAAGGAATTCCTGGAGGTGATGCATCCTATTGTCCATGCCCACCCCGTACTGGCACGGTCAGTGCACTCTGAAACGCTCCAGCATGAGTACGAATGGATTGTCGCAACGAACCGCCATTATCATGAAAGTATTAAATCCTATCATTCATCCAATCCCATCCACAGTTTTTTCGGTATTGTCCTCAGTTATACTTTGTACTATTCAATCAAAACAACACTGCTTATCAGTAACGATTATCACACGAATAAAAGTTTGCATTAAACAACGCTTCATTAAAGCATATCAATAGCACTCGTCAGAGATTCTCTCTCACTGGTATCCACGAAGAATTATGTGGAATAAAATCAGTTTTTTGCATTATTGTCACCATGAAAGGTTCTTTTGTTTTCGCACAAATATGCAGTAACAAAATGTAATAAGGAAAAGTGAATTCTTATTGCATAAATCAAATGTCAGAAAGATCGGGGCAACTATTCCCGTCAAGAACGTTGAATAGTTTGCATAATGGTATAGATCTTAAAGTTAGCCTCTTCATGAGAAAGATGCATTGATCGATTCGGGAAGTGACAGTGGAACGAGTGAAGTGTGGATATCACACGTGAATGATGGGTTTTTAATTGCAATCAGGTCACCTATTTGCATCACTCTGTTAACAACAAACAGTGATTCGTCAGTTTGGTTATCTCAAATGATTGAATGTTATTGATGCCTCCTAACATTCACTTTTTTGCGTTGCTCACTTCGATGATTCATTCCTTTCGTCGAATAGCGTTTTATTTTCGAAAATCAATGTTTCCATCAAAATCTTTTGGAATCAATTTTCTGCGTGTGGAATGGTGAAACTCCAGTGGAGAATCCTCTGAATTCCATTGGTCCTTCCAACTGTTGGTGATTATTTCTTGCGATTAGAGCGTATTGTCGCTAAAAAAAAGCTTTCCGAATTCGTTGAAGGTGCGCTCATGCAAGCTTATGATGCAAATAGATTTTGCAATGAATCACACTTCAATAAACTGCTATAAACTGATGAAATTATGTGTAAATAAACAGAGAAAATATTCGGTGGAAGGCACGTCTAAGGATCGGGTTAATTTCCCTAGTTTTTTCAGTGAACATTTCTCATCTCAGTTCATGTTCATCCCAATAAGGCTATTTTCTGATGATGCACGTCGACGTAAATGATGCTCCGAAGAATTACAGTTGTTAACGTTTTTCAGAAATGTGGCATTTCATAATTATAATTTTTGGAGTGTTACCTCCATCATCCGCGTTCTTTTTCGGGTGTCCATCGCTGCTGTGTTTTGAACCTATTTGCTGCTGTCCTTGTTCATATCAGTCTGAATGCAGCTGTGAATATGCTCGTCGGTCGCTCGGTCACTTCGTACCGTTGAATATGCCTCTCCTTTCTCAGCTAAACAACAAATATATCCCTTCATTCAACAACTACCACATTCAGCCGTCCCACTATCAAGTGTTTCCAACCTCGTCACCATCACCCCCGGTCACCGATGCTGATCAAGGATGGATCACTGATTCGTCGTTGACTGAATCTGCAGTCAGCGGAAATATCACCACGACTCACGAGCCACCAATCGAGTCGATTTCATCTGAGGTCGATCGAACGACGACTTCTGCAGACAATTTGTACGGAACCTCCGAACCTCAGAAAGCAATTACATTGCCGGGACGATTCTCATTCGATTATAAATCTAATGCTCCAGATTCGACTCAGTCATCAGAACCCTCCAATGAAGTTGAAGGTTAATTGAATAGTTTTGTGATTTGTATCACAACTTCATATGATCAACGCAGCATCACCACAATGTCCATTTACTTTCATCAACTTCTTATGGGGAACGTAGAGCTTATCTGACGAATCCATTTTTTGCATTCAATATTTGTTTCAAGCATCTAGCAAACCGAATTTTTGTTTCATACGTTCTATTTTCAGGAGAACCATTGGATCAGAAAGGCTCATCAGTCCTGGATAAAACAAACGCACCATTCGGATGCTTCATCGCCAGTGGCGGTTTGTCAGTTAGCTGTTTGTCATATTCACCGAACGACTATTAAGAATAAAACATGAATCTTTCCGTATCAAAATGATGGCCTGCAGAAAATAAATCAATGTTGTCAGTTGTCAGCAAAATGACTCACAATAGGAATGCAACAAATTCTGGTTCCGTTCATCATATACTAGCACAATGAATGATGATGCATATATTGAAAGAATCTATAAATTTTTGTTGCCAGCAGAAATTTGTCGTGAATCAGATAATTTTTATTCGTCATTTTAAGGTTTCATGTGCTGTGATACAGTTCTTGAGAATGTTATGGTCAGTGCATATAACGAGCTGAGCAGAAAGGCAAACTTCAGTCATTGTAATACAGATCGAATATCCATGGTTCGTTGGGATTGATCTGTTATTGCTCTGGAATTGGCAAAATGATATCATTTTTTGCGAAGAGGATTTGATCTTGATTGATTAGTGTCTCAAGAAGTTGACGATTAGAATGCGATCACTGAAAGTCTTATTGCTGAAAGTTTGCATCGATTTGGTTACTGTAGGAAATGCGATAGCATTAATTAGCATGTATCGTATAAGTTTGAAGGTGTTATGATTAGAGATGAATGCATCCAGACAGTATTGTGCAGTCAGCCATCGAAAGATTGCATTGTTATTGATTGATCAAATGATGATAATCAACTGATATTTCAGGTTATCCAAAACGCAGTTCAGCGCAAATTTGGGAGGAGTTTTGAAACGATTATAGCACTCAAAGACTTCGTATCCTTGTCATCGTACGAAGGAAATTTGAGGTGTAAATTCGTTAAGGATGGCAAATATTTTTATTCGTACGCTACACCTGTTCAGGTTAGATAAATGCAGTTGACACTTTGACATCGTTGACTTTCAGAACTCTAAAATGTTCATTGATCTATTGTATATATATTTTTTATGAATCTTGCAGTCAGCTAATCAGTTCAGAACCAATTTGTTTTTTCATACTCAAATGAATCTTTCAGCAGTATGAACTGAATGACCTTCGATGAGTGAGTGTTCAAACAAGAATGGCATGACGAAATGTGACCAGAGCTCTACTCATATATTCAACATTCACGAATATGACTATATTTGAAGCGATTCTGTTTGCATATACATATGAGTTGTACAGATAAGATGTATTGAATGTGAGACGTGTAGCGAACCGCAGATGCGGAATAAAATAAACAATATTCATGTGGAATGATAGTTCATTTCCTGGTATCTGGGCAACGAGTGTTTCTTTTCACTTCGTTCGTCAAGTCTCTGTCGTCAGGTCTGGTTGAGTTCTCACCGTTGAGCAATAAGTCGATGTCATTCTCGTTCCAGTCATCAACCACCTCACATCTCAACTCCCTTCCATATCCGTCATCTACATCTTCGTCCTCGTCGTCTTCTCGATGTGTTTCATTTCCTTCATCCATCACCTTAGTTTCTTCCTTCCCACTCTCTTCATTAAGCTTCAAGTTTCCTATCATTTCAAGATTGCTCGTAATTGCATCAACAAGTTCACTTCTTTTTGGACATGGACAATAGAAAGCATCAGTACCGTGAATACCCGGCTCACCAGCTCTCCCGGGAATACCATTTCGACCCATTCGTCCAGATGCTCCTGCTGAACCCTGTCGTCCTTCTGGTCCCATCTCACCAGACTCACCTTCTCGACCGTTTTGACCAGGATTACCTTGGGGTCCTGGCTCGCCTCGTGGTCCTCTGGGACCGCGAACACTCTTCCTTTTTATGCCATTTTTACCGGCTGGACCGGCTGGACCAGCTTTTCCAGGTGGCCCTAAAAGTGGAATGTAGTGGGATAGTATTGGTCGTGCAATTTGTTTTCCGAATAAACAAAATATCGCCTTCATGCATTCTCAACTCACAAAGAGTACGACATTTTCCTATTGATACTTATCGGTTTAGAAACTCAATAAAGTGACGACAAAGTGAGAAAACTAAGATATCCTTAGATCACTTATGTTCAGCACTCTTTGATTTTTCATTCATTCTTTTGATCAAATAAAACTTTCGATAGGCGATACCAGTCTCATTCAAGCAGATTGAAAGAGTTTTTACCTGGCGCTCCACGGTCACCTTTAGCTCCAGAAACACCATGCAGTCCATCCCGTCCCGCTAAGCCTGCTGGTCCTCTTACACCATCAGGTCCTCTTCGGCCGGGTTCACCGTCTTCTCCTGGCAGCCCTGGTGGACCAGCTGGGCATGGAATACATCCATCCATCGCTAATTCTGTAGGAGCGAATGAAGCAGCATTTGAACCCGATTTTCCGGGTAAACCTGGTAATCCATCTTCACCATTCGGTCCAGGATCTCCTGTGGGTCCATGTGGACCAGGTGGGCATTTGTTTGGCTGCGCACTGCACGCACATTGGGATTGTCGTTTGGGTCGTTTGGGATGAGCCGAGTGCAAGGATGGTTGCATTGAATGCATATCATTCCAAGCGTTGTTGGCAGCAAATTGAAATTCATTCATATCGTTCATAAATTCATCGTAAAATAAATTTGTCTGTCGAATCAATACTGTAATGAATGCGATAGACACGATCATAATAACACCACTTACACTCGACGCATATATCAAGACGTTCGCACTTCTCATCGTTGCCATTCGCTGAAATTATGATGGGAATCGTTTCGTTATGATATAACATCGTTTAGCCGTTGTTCGCTTAAAAACAGTTGTAAAAGATGACACAGATTAAGCTCAGTTCTGAGCACTTCAATCAATTCTGATTTAGACTTGTTACTGCGAGTATTGTTTCGAAATGCCATCTCGTAGGGTCTGTGGTGAAATAAACGAAAGCGAGTAGTACTATTTGGGAGAATGAGGTGTTGATAGATCGGATACGATTCATGGATATTTATACGAAATACACGATCTAGATTCAACAACTTGAAAATCATTTAATAATACGGCTGAGACTCTCTGCACTAAATAATCGAATTTTAGTCTTTTTTTCCACAAAAATATGCAAAAAAACTTTAG